GACGGGCGTGCCTTGTCACACTCAGCCTGCGTTAGGGTCGTTCTGGCCTGAGCGCAGCTCAGGAGCCAGGGGGCTACCACGGCAACCTGCAGGTTTTCAGTGCCCTGTGGACTCCGGGTGGCAGCTTTTGTTTCTGTTTTGAGCTAAGAAGACGTGCGCAGATGTGAAAGGTGGGCGGAAGCAGGGCGTCCCCTCCTGTCCTGACCACACAGTCCTCATCTGTCTCCCAGGTTGGAGTGCAGTGGGGCCATCACAGCTCACAGAGCCTTGAACTCCTAGGCTCAAGGGATCCTCCCGCCTCAGCCTTCCAAAGTGCCGGGATTACAGGTGTGAGCCATGGCGCCCAGCCAACGTTCTGCTTTGTAATGGCCTTAGAGTGTTTAATGCACTAGGGTGGAGACTGCCCATTGCGTAGACTCTTAGTGGTGGACCCCGGGCATCCCAGTGCACTGGGTTTAGAAGCAAGCTGCTGGGGGCCACGGACGGGAACAGGTGTCCTCTGTGAGGAGCCTCTGCGGAGCCACTGCGGAAGGTGGGGAGGCGTGTGTCCTGTGTTCCCAGCCTGCCTGGTTTCCAGGCAGTGCTGCCAATTTAGACTCTGCGGCCGAGTGCCCGCAGTGTCAGAGAGGTGGACAGGTTCTCGTGTGGGTTTAGTGTGCATTTTCCTTAGGAGGAAGTTGAGCACTTCACTCTGTTTACAGCAGTTTCTATTTCTACATTTTGTGAAATATTGATTTGCATCCTTTGCCCATTTTTCCTTTAGATTATAAATATTTTTCTTAATTTATAGGATCTATAAAATATACACTAGAGAGATTAGACTTTTAGCTTTGATATGAGTTGAATTTTGTTTTTAGTTTGTGGGAAGTAGAAAATTTCCTTTTTAAATTTTCCTTTCTTGTTAAAGAATAAGTGTGCTAATAACTTTAAGCCCTATCCCATGTAGCTGTTAGACACGCCGTGATTACAGGCATGTAGCACATTCCATGTCCTTGTACCTTAACCAACATATCTGTGATAAACCTGCTCAGAGTCATGTCCCAGCTCTCCACGGCTTTTATCTGTTTAAAAAAGTTTTAAGTTGTCAGCCAACCAAGTTTTAGTTAAATTGTGAGGCCTGGCTCCAGCCAGCAAAAATCAAACACAGCCGTAAGAACAGCCCCAAACGCGTAAGGAGTAAATTTGTCTGTTTCCCTTGATTCATTGTACTCTTGTGGCAAAATGGCTGGTGAGAGTTCCTTTCCTGCGGTCCAGAAAGTAAGAATTGCGTTGCTGAAAAATCCTTTGTCTCATGCTGATTTTTCCTGGAGATTCCAACAAGCTCACCTTTGGGTTTTGACTCCTCTGACAGTGTTTCTTTCTCCATGTGAAATTGTTTCACTTTTGTGTCATTGAATTCATCACTGTTGTGCTGGTAGATGTTTAATTAGTTCTCTAAGAAGAAGAAAAAAACGCAATGCTCCAGGCAACAGGTTTTGTGATTTCCGAGGTGTGCGTTTGCCCCTCGGGGCCTGTGTGAAGCCACCAGCCCTGTCCTTGAGCCTGGATGGGGAGCAAAGGCTCTGGCCCCGCCTGCCGGAGCTGGGCCTCACTAAAAAGGCCTTTCCCATCTCCAGACTCCTGATAATCAGACACTGCTGCCCTGGTTTCTCAGGGTGTCTCTGCGGCTGGTGTCCTCATGTGCTTTGATGGTTTCATGTGGTGTAAGATGCTGGGCAGAGGCCGCCCCTCCCACTTCTGTTTCCAGATGATTTGTTGAAGGAACTGTCTTTCCCCTGATGCGTAAGAGCTGATCTTTCTTTTCTCTCTTTCTTTTTTTGAAACGGAGTCTCATTCTGTCTCCCAGGCTGGAGTGCAATGGCTCAATCTCAGCTCACTGCAACCTCTGCTCTCTCCTCCCATCTGGGTTCAAGGGATTCTCCTGCCTCAGCCTCCTGCGTAGCTGGGCCTCTAGGCTCGCGCCACCACGTCCAGCTGTATGTGTGTGTGTGTATATATATATACGTATATATATATTTTTTTTTAGTAGAGATGGGGTTTCACCATGTTGGCCAGGCTGGTCTCAAACTCCTGACCTCAGGTGATCTGCCTGCCTTGACCTCCCACAGTGCTGGGATTACAGGCACGAGCCCCCGCGCCCGGCCAAGAGTCGATCTTTCATCCCTCACCAGACCCCTGTGTGTGATTCTATGTCTGGACTCTGTTCGGCCCTGGGCCTGTGCGTCCACACTGGGTTCAGTGTCTTTGCAGGGTGTTGTGGTGTTTAGGAAGCTGTGCCAGCACCTGCTGTGACTGCTTTTTAGTAATTAGCCTAGGCCGGGCGTCGGGATTCAGCCTGTAATCCAGCACTCAAGGAGGCCGAAGGGGGCGATTTGCTTGAGCTCAGGAGTTCGAGAGCAGCCGGGGCAACACTGAGAAACCCCGTCTTGGACAAACAGAAGAGACTCCAGATTAGCTAAGTGTGGTGGTGTGCACCTTGGTCCCAGCTACTGGGGAGGCTGAGGTGGGAAGGCTGCTTGAGCCAGAGGTGGAGGCTGCAGCGACCTGGGACCCCTCACTGCACCCCCGCCTGGCCCGCAGAGCCTGCTTGGCCAGCGTTCCCTGGTGATGTGATGCTTCTCCACATGAACTTGAAAGCCAGCGTGTCCACCATGCGATCGCAGGTTAACTTAGGAAGAATTACATCTTTGTGTGATGCTAAGCCTCTCCATCCAGGAGCACGGTGTTCTGCACGGATTCTCACAGTGTGCACACAGAGCCTGATTAGCCGGGCCCCGGGGGGCTGCCAAGAGTGGGCCACCCTCTCTGAGGAGCTCGAACGTGACTGGTCTGCAGAGAGGCTCCCTGATCACAGACGGGGCACCCAGCCGACATCCCGAGGGAGGGGTGAGCCCCCGCCAGGCCCTCCCCACGGGGCGGCGGCCTTGGGTGACGGCCTTGCCTCCTTGTTTCAAGGGCAGGGTAACTGTCACGGTTATTTCCTGCTGCAGAACACGTCACCCCAAAGCTCAGCAGCTTAAAACAACATTGATGTTTGTTTTATTTTATTTTATTTTACTTTATTCATTTATTTGTTGCTCCGTAGCCCAGGCTGGAGTGTGGTGGTGTGATCTCGGCTCACTGCAACCTCCACCTCCCTGGTTCAAGCCATTCTCCTCCCTCAGCCTCCCGAGTAGCTGGGCTTATAGGCGCCTGCCCCCACGCCCAGCTAATTAGACATTCATTTTAAACGACAAAAACATCTCACAGCTGGGCGTGGTCTAGGTGGGAGGGCCTGGGTCTCCCTGAGGTGGCAGCAAGGCTGGGACTGTGGCTGTCACTGCAGGTAGCCTGGAGGCCTCAGCTCCCCACGGGGCCTCCCCGCAGGGCTGCCGAGGTCCCAGAGTCAGTCGGGAGAGCAAAGCCCAGGCGTGCTGACTCTGGGAGCTGCGGCCACTTGGCCCTTCCTGCCATATCCTGGTTGGTGACGGAGGGAACTGGGGGTGAGCAGCGCTGGGGCCACAGCAGGCCCTGCTGGTCAGGATCAGGGGCCTCAGGCTTCCAGGTCAGCGGTGCCTGGATTTCTCCGGGGCAGATGGTGGAGTCACCGGGTCCTCCTGCTGTCCAGAGCTCGGCAGGGTCTCACCCCTTCCGCCCAGCACACCATCGGGGCTCTAGTGTGTGATGGCTGGACAGGGCGCAGGGCTCTGGGGGGAGTGGGAGAGGAGTCCCCTCACCTCCTGCTGCCTCCACCCCCAGCCGCCTGGCCCTGTAAGGAGGGGCGCCCTCTGCTCGCTGGCGCTTCCCGGGGTCCCCTCGCCTGGGCCGAGCCGTCGTGGAGGCGGGGCAGGGCGGGGCGGGGCAGGGGGCCGTGAGGTAATTTCCGCGATCGGCGTCAGTGCCCGGGGCAGAATCGAAACCGAGAGCTGAGAGCTCAAAGGGAAGCTCGGCGGGGCGGGCGGCTCCAGGAGGGTGAGCCCAGGAGGGTGAGTGCGGGCGTCCTGGGGTGGCGGGGCCGGGCCGCGGGCGTCCTGGGGCTGCTCCAGGACAGTGAGCCTGAGGGTCTCAGGGTGACGGGGCCGGGGGCACTGGGTCCAGGAGGGTGAGAGCGGCCGGGGGCACGGGGGTTGGGAAGCCGCAGACCCCAGCCCGGGCAGGCGCCCTTGCCCTCGCATTAAGCCCCAGCCCTGGGTCTCCGCACTGGCTGCCACACAGGAGTTTGGGGTCTTGGCTCTGGTCCTTTCTGGACGGCAGCCTGGGACGTTTTCCTGGAGGGGTCCCTGGGGAGGGCTGGGCTCTCATACTCAAGTCCGCCTCCAGTCCATGCTCCAGTCCGCGGCTTTAAACTTCCTCTTGTGGCATCTCAGCTGTGGTGGGGACCCAGGCCCATCTCTTCCTGGCACCCTGAGCTCTGGTGGGCACTGCCCACCTCGAGGGCCAGGCCTCTGCAGGGTTGCACCCTCCCCTCCCTGAGGCCTCTGCCCAGGTGCTGGTATGGGGCCTCTTTTCCTGGGGCCAGCGATCATTTAACAGAAAAGGAGATGCTGCATCCTTAGAAGAGTCGGGAGCCTGAGCCCTCAGGTGCACAGGAGCCTCGGCTGGTGCAGAGGGCTGCGGGCTGCCGGGGGTGGCACCGAGCCGAGGGCTCCGCCCCACGCCAGGGGTCCACAGCCAGTCACCTGGGCTGGTTTATGTGGGGCCTGACACCCTTCAGGAGGAGAGTCTGGCTGTGGCCGCATCAGTGGGCTCTGACCCTAACGCCTCTGCTTTGGTGTCAGGGTGGCGGAATCCAGCTCCTTGCCTGGAGGAGAGGCCGCGCTTCTGAGCTGGGCCTGGAGCAGATGTACCCGGCCTCAGTCTTACCTGCCCCTTCTGTCGCAGGCTTCGAGCCGTGGCCAACCGTCCCAGTGAACTGCGTGGACCCCTGAGCTCAGGAGCCTCCGGCGCCACCCCGGCGCACCAAGCCGCTGTTCAAGGTGGCGCCTCCAGGGTCCAGCCTGCTGCCCAACAGTCCCGCGGCCACCAGGGGGCCGTCCCTGGCCCGGCTGTGTGCCCTGGTGGACCTGCGTCTGGGTTGTTGCCGCTGCAGCAAGCGGCTCAATGAGAGCACGTACGTCCTCTGTGGCGTGGAGCATGACTGCCCCGGCGACATCCTGCTGGCCCGCCTCAAGCAGGCCCCCAAGAGCAAGGTCTGGCGCAGGGTGGGCTGCCGGCCGGCCTTCCCCAGGCCGCTGTGCTACAAGGTCTGCCGCTACTACAGCCCCGGCCTGGGCTGCCGGCGCCACCGGAACCGGTGCACCTTTGCCTGCAGCCGCGAGGAGGCTCTGGTCTGGACCTTTGAGCGCGAGCAGGGCCTCCAGCGCGTGTGGCTGAAGGCGGAGGTGCGGGGCGGCAGGGCCCACGGAGGGGCAGGCGGGGTGGCTGAGGCCATCCTCGCCGAGTTTGGCGGCCACTTTGAACTGCTCTGCTCCCTCTGCTTCAGGCGCTGCCCACCACGCGTCTGTCGCGTGGACTCCCAGGGGCAGTGCGCTGAGCATGGAGCCTGCCCCTCCCTCCTGGCCCATGTGAGCACTGAGGGCCGCCGCAAGCAGCAGTTCGTGGCAGTGAGGCCACGGCCTCGGGTGGGCCAGCCACCCGCCTTCTGCAGGTTTGTGGGGCGCGGGCAGCCGTGCTGGCACGGAGAGTCCCGCTGCCAGTTCGCGCACAGCGCCGTGGAGATGGCCGTGTGGGAGGCCGAGCAGCTGGGTGGCCTCCAGCGGGGGGACCTTCTCACGCCCCCTGCCCCTGGTGGCGATGGGCGTGCGGCCCCCCGCGGCCGGCTCCCTGGGGCCCAGCTATACTGCCCCGCCTGCTTGGTCACCTGTCACTCTCAGGAGGCCTTCGAGAACCACTGCGCCTCCCCGGAGCACGCACAGATGGTGGCCTTCGACCAGGCCGTGCCCTGGGAGCACCGCTCCCCGCCTCCGGGGCTCTCCGCGTTCAAGCTCTGCCCAAAGTAAGGAGCTCGGAGGGGGGCACGAACCCACTGTAGGCAGAGCCGGGGCTCCCAGGATCGGCGGGCAGGGGCTCCTGCCACCTGCAGTCCCCTCTGCATGACGGCCGAAGCCACGTGGCCTCTGAGGACCTGGATAAGGAGCTGCTCGAGCTGGGCCTTGTCCTGGGGGCACCGGAGTGGGTGGGACGAGCCATCCCCTGCTCCCTGCAGAGGCCAGTGTTGGGCTGAGGGGGTCCCAGTCTTTGAACTCAGCTTGGCGGCTGTGCCCCCATGCGGCCCCACTGACCTTCCTGTCCCCCAGGCCTGACCTCTGTGAATATGGGGACGCCTGCACCAAGGCGCACTCGGCGCAGGAGCTGCAGGAGTGGGTCCAGCGCACGCAGGCTGCGGAGCTGCGGGGACGGGCGGCCTGGCAGGACGGGCTGGTGCCCTACCAGGAACGGCTGCTGGCTGAGTACCGGCGCAGCAGCAGCGAGGTCCTCGTGGTAAGTGGGCCGTGGGCGTGGGGGGGCGGGGCCCGACATCCTGCTGAAGGTGGACTTCCACGCAGCTGGCAGAGACCCTCGAGGGAGTGCACGTCACCTGCAACCAGCCCCTGATGCACCAGGCCCAGGAGAGGAAGACCCAGTACAGCTGGACGTTTGCCGTCCACTCTGAGGTGAGCGGGGAGCAGCCCCGACTGGGCGGAGGGAGCCTGAGAGGTGGTGACCACAGCCCGGGGAGAAGCTGAGCACCTGCATCATGGAGCTGATACCGAGGCCCTGCCATGTGACCTGGGGAAGTCCCTTGGCCTCTGCCTCAGTCTCCTCACCTACAGACTGGGGGGCCGGGAGAGTCCCACCGAGGAAGGTTACTCTATAGGGTATACCGCTTAAAACAAGGATTCGGCTGGGCACCGTGGCTCACGCCTGTAATCCCAGCACTTTGGGAGGCCGAGGCAGGTGGATCACCTGAGGTAAGGAGTTCAAGACCAGCCTGGCCAACATGGCAAAACCGTCTCTACTAAAAAAATAAATATATGTATTAGCCGGGCTTGGTAGTGCGGGCCTGTAGTCTGTCTACTTGGGGGTCTGAGGCAGGAGAATCACATGAACCCCAGAAGTGGAGGTTGCAGTGAGCCATTGCACTCCAGCCTGGACGACAAGAGCCAAACAGTCTCAGAAAAACAAAAACAAGGACCTACCAGGGTCTGGCACCGGGATAGTGGGCGGGGAGGTCCCAGGCTGCCCGCATCGCCCCACCGAACATCCACAGGGACCTCAGGACGTTCAGTGACCCCCATTTTGCACAGGAAAAAATGTTCACAGAGGCTGAGTGACCTGCTTGGGTTCTATCCAAGAAGTCGCAGGGCCGGGACCCGAGCCCTGCATTTGGGCCACACTGGCCAGGCCGCCTCTCGGGAGGGTGGGGAGCGGCCTGGGCCCCCCTCACTGTCTGGCCTCCTCTCCAGGAGCCCCTGCTGCATGTGGCCCTGCTGAAGCAGGAGCCCGGAGCCGACTTCTCCCTGGTGGCTCCCTGCCTCCCGACCGGCCAGGTCTACGCACGAGGCGAACGCTTCCGCGTGCTCGGCTCCGCGGCCGACTTCCAGGTGGGGGTGCGTGTGCAGGCCGCCTCCTTCGGCGCCTTTGAGCAATGGGTGGCCTTCGACTTTGGCTGCCGGCCAGTGCTGCTGCGAAAGCTGCGGCTGCAGCTGGGTCAGGGGCGTGGCCCGGGACCCTGCGACGGCCTGGCGCTCGGCCGCCCTGAGGAGCTTGAGCGCTGGCACTCCGGCAACCGCCATGTGGTTCCTGTCGTGGAGCGGACGGCCGAGCAGACGGCCCTGATGGCCAGGTACAAGGCCCCTGCCCTGGCCCTAGAGTTCAACCGCAGCGGCCTGGCCTCGGGCCCCATCTCCCCAGCCAACTATCGGCAGCGGATGCACCAGTTTCTCTATGAGGAGGAGGAAGCTCAGCAGCAGCTGGTGGCCAAGTGAGCCGGGGCCGGGGCAGTGGGAGCAGCTGGGGTCTGGACTTGCAGCAGGGCTGGCGGCTGGGGGCCGTGAGCTGACCCGGGCCCTCCTGCCAGGCTGACCCTGCGGGGCCAGGTGTCCCTGAAGACAGCCCTGCAGACGCCAGCGCTGAACATGCTCTTTGCGCCTCCGGGAGCGTTGTACGCCGAGGTCCCCATCCCGTCCTCCCTGACGCCAGACACAGACCAGGGCTTCCTGCTGGGCCGGGCGGTCCGCACGGCTCTGGTGGCCCCCGTGCCCGCACCTGGCCACACGGTGTTCGAGGTACACCTGGAGAGGCAGGCCAGCTCTGAGCAGGCGCTGTGGCTGCTGCTTCCGGCCCACTGCTGCTCAGCCCTGGGGCTGCAGCCCGAGACTCAGCTGGTCCTGGAGGTGCAGTTCCAGGTTGACCCGATGACCTTCCGCCTCTGGCACCAGGCAGTGGACAAGCTGGCTGAGGTGCAGCTGGTGGTACCCGACCTTCCCGCCTGCGCCCTGCCCAGCCCTTGGTCCACTGCATCCTTACAGCGTGGCAACCGCAAGCAGAGGCTGGCCGTGGCACTCATCGCGGGCTGGGGTCCCGGGGATGGGAGGCGTGTCCCCCCGCTGCTCATCTACGGCCCCTTCGGCACCGGCAAGACCTACACGCTGGCCATGGCCTCCCTGGAGGTCATCCGGCGGCCTCATACCAAGGTGCTCATCTGCACCCACACCAACAGGTAAGCCCGAGCCTGGCCTGTCCCTGCCTCACCTGACACCTGGCCTGACGGATGGGCCCATCTACACTGGGCAAGCGGTCACCCCTGACATGCTCCTGTCCTGATTCTGTGGGACCCTCCTTGTGGGCAGGCGGTCGCCCCTGGACGTGCTCCTGTCCTGATTCTGTGGGACCCTCCCTGTGGGCAGGCGGTCGCCCCTGGACGTGCTCCTGTCCTGATTCTGTGGGACCCTCCCTGTGGGCAGGCGGTCGCCCCTGGACGGGTTCCGGCCTGATTCTGTGGGACCCTCCCTGTGAGCAGGCGGTCACCCCTGGACGTGCTCCAGTCCTCTGATTCTGTGGGGCCCTCCCGTGGGCAGGCGGTCACTCCTGGACGTGCTCCTGTCCTGACTCTGTGGGACCCTCCCGTGGGCAGGCGGTCAGCCCTGGACGTGCTCCTGTCCTGTGGGGCCCTGCCCGTAGCTAGTGAGCCCTGGGCTTTGGCTTTATCAGGCCCAGCTCAGGCCTGGGGTGCTGGGTCTGCTGTCGAGTGAGGAGCTGGGTACCTCTGCAGAGGCCCTGGGCCAAAGAAAGAGTCACAGGGAAGGTTGTGGCTTGGGCCACCCAGCATTTCCTGGAGGTGAGGCTGGTTTTCGTTTTTTATAGAAACACAGACTTTTGTCCCCACCATGAAGTTCCCCTTTGGTTGAAGTGGTTTTCTCGGGTCTTGGCCACACCAGCTGCCCAGGCCGGGGCCTTCCCATTCCTGCCAGGGGGAAGTGGGGACGTCCCGGGCTGATTTCTGCATTGAGGGTTCGGGGGGCCTGGGAAGGGCAGGTGTCTGCAGTGTCAGAGGGGCTGCTGGGGCTCCACCGTGGCCTCTTGCCCTTCGGACTCCTGAGAGTGGGGGCACCGGCGTTTGCTGCTCACCCCTGACAGCCAGACAAGGGCTGTGCTGGGGCAGCTTGGCCGGGCACACAGCAGGTGCTTCAGCGGATGGCACTGAGGCCTCCAGCAAGAAGCTCACAAGCTCTCCCCATCCTGCAGCGCTGCCGACATCTACATCCGGGAGTATTTCCACAGCCACGTCAGCAGCGGCCACCCTGAGGCCACTCCTCTCCGTGTGATGTACACGGACCGGCCACCGAGCCAGACGGACCCGGTCACACTGAAGTACTGCTGCCTGACCGACGACCGCCAGGCCTTCCGCCCGCCCACGTGTGCAGAGCTGGTGCGGCACCGCCTGGTGGTCGCCACCACCTCCCAGGCCCGTGAGCTCCGGGTGCCGGTTGGCTTCTTCTCCCACATCCTCATCGACGAGGCGGCCCAGATGCTGGAGTGCGAGGCCCTCACCCCGCTGGCCTACGCCTCCCGCGACACCCGCCTCGTGCTGGCGGGCGACCACATGCAGGTCACGCCCCGGCTGTTCAGCGTGGCCCGGGCCCGGGCGGCAGAGCGCACGCTGCTGCACCGTCTCTTCCTGCACTACCAGCGGGAGGCGCACGAGGTGGCCAGGCAGAGCCGCCTGGTCTTCCACGAGAACTACCGCTGCACAGAGGCCATCGTCAGCTTCGTCTCACGGCACTTCTACGTGGCCAAGGGTGAACCCATCCATGCCAGGGGCAAGGTCCCGCGCCACCCCCGACACTACCCGCTCATGTTCTGCCACGTGGCGGGCAGCCCCCAGCGGGACATGTCCATGGCGTCCTGGCTGAACCTGGCCGAGATCGCCCAGGCCGTGGAGAAGGTGCAGGAGGCCTACAACACCTGGCCCCCCTGCTGGGGCAACCGTGAGCAGGGACACATCTGTGTGGTTTCCCACGGGGCCCAGGTGAGCCCGGCCAGCCGACGACCGCCCCTGACTGCATCCCCGCCAGGGGTGGGAGCTTGCTGGCTGACGGATGGGCCCCTGCCTCAGTTTCCCCATCTGTAAGGGGGGGCCACAGCATTTGCTTCCAGGGGCTGATGTGGGGCTTGCTCCCTGAGGTGTCTGGGGCTTGCAGGGGTCCCTCTCCTTGTTGGGGGTGGCCGAGTGCTTACTGCGTCCGGCGCTCATCCCCGGCCCGGCTGTGTCTTCAGGTCAGCGCGCTGAGGCAGGAGCTGAGGCGGCGGGACCTAGGCCAGGTGTCTGTGGGCAGCTTTGAGATCCTGCCAGGTGGGTGACCAGTGGGGCTCGGTGCTGCCAGCTGCCTCAACAGGATGTCCCGGGGGTCTCGGCCCGCTCCTCAGCCTGGCATCAGCCGGAGCCGGGCTGGTCCCGCCGTCCCACCCGCTCAGCCTGACCGTGTGTGTCCCCTGCAGGGCGGGAGTTCCGGGTGGTGGTGCTGAGCACGGTGCACACCTGCCAGAGCCTGCTCAGCCCCGGCGCGCCGGACCCTGGGTTCTTCACCGACGCCCGGGTGCTCAACACTGTCCTGACACGCGCCCAGTCCCAGCTGGTGGTGGTGGGGGACGCCGTGGCCCTCTGCTCCTGCGGGGCCTGTGGCAAGCTCTGGGAGAGCTTCATCCGTGAGTGCGTGGAACAGTGCAGCGTCTGCCCCGAGGGTCTGTCCATGGAGCAGATAGAGCAGGGTGTGGCCCAGAGGCGGCGCTGGGCCCCCCGAGGCGCACAGGCTGAGGCCGCGGAGCCGATGGGGCACCTGGCCAAGGAGCTGGCCGCTGTGGGGACGGCCACAGTGAAGGCAGAGCCAAGAGAAGGGGCTCTGAACTCGGCGTCCCGTGGCCTCACGGCAACCACAGTGCAGACGGAGGCCAGGGCAGCGCCTGCGGGAGACGCGGTGAAGGAGGATGTGGAGCCTGGGACCGGCGCAGCAGGAGCCACCGCTGCGGAGGGCGTGGAGTCCACGGAGCCAGAGGACGCAGAGGCTGACTTCTGGCCGCTGGACGGGGAGCTCAACGCCGGCGACAGCATCCTGCAGGAGCTTCTGGACGAGAGCCGGAAGGTGATGGTGACCGTTGGGGAGGATGGGCTGCTGGACACAGTCGCCACGCCTGAGTCCCCGCGCCAGGCCCGGCTGTATGAGAACCTACCCCCGGGCACACTACGGAAGCTGCTGCGCTCGGCGCCAGGGCGGTACTGCCGCTGCACCTTCCTGCAGGAGACCTTCGAGCGGGCCTCCGCCATCCCGCTGGACGATGCCCCCTCGGGCCCCATCCTGGTCAGGGGCCGCCTGGACTGTGGGATGGCCTTCTCCGGCGACGAGGTGCTGGTGCAGCTCCTCTCGGGTGACGGGGCCCCCGAGGGGCGGCTTCGGGGCCGCGTGGTGGGCGTGCTGAAGAGACGGCGGTGCGAGTTGACGTTCGTGTGCCGCATGGACGCCTGGGACCCACGCATCATGGTGCCCATCAACGGCTCTGTCACCAAGATCTTCGTGGCGGAGCTGAAGGACCCGTCACAGGTGCCCATCTACAGCCTCCTCAAGGGCCGGCTGCAGCGTGTGGGGCTGGAGAGGCTCCCGGCCCAGGCCTGGCACAGCCGGCTCTTCTGGGTGCACATCGTCCTGTGGCGATCCGGCTTCTACTACCCGCTGGGCATCGTCCGGGAGGTGCTGCCCGAGGCCAGCACCTGGGAGCAGGGCCTCCGCATCCTCGGCCTGGAGTACGGCCTGAGGACGCCCCCGCTGGACCTGGCCCTTGCCGCCAAGGCGCTGCAGAAATACCGCACGGAGCTTGGCCGGGCTGCCGGCCGCCGAGAGGACTGCCGCGCCTTCCTGACGTTCACTGTGGACCCCCAGGGCGCCTGCAACCTCGACGACGCCCTCAGCGTCCGGGACCTGGGCCCCAGGTGTGAGGTGGCCGTGCACATCGCCGACGTGGCCAGCTTTGTGCCCCGGGATGGGGCGCTGGACGTGGAGGCCCGAAGGCAGGGTGCGGTGTTCTACGCCCCTGACAGTGAGCCGGTGCCCATGCTGCCGGCCGGCCTCTGCCAGGACATACTCAGCCTCCTGCCGGGCCAGGACCGCCTGGCCCTCTCCCTGTTCCTCACTCTGGAGAAGGCCAGCGGCCGGCTGAAGAGTCTGCGCTTTGCACCCTCCGTGGTCTGCTCCGACCGCCAGCTGTCCTACGAGGAGGCGGAGGGGGTGATCAGGCGGCACCCGGGCGCCGGCCACGAGCTGCCGGCCCGCCTGGACTCCGTGGACGCCTGCCTCGTGGCCGCATGCTACTTCTCTCGGCAGCTGCGTCGTGGCCGCCTACAGTCCGACCGCTTCTATGAGCAGCCAGATGAGGAGAGTGTCCTGGGCTTCCGCGCGGCCCACCTCATGGTGAAGGAGTACATGATCCAGTTTAACAGGCTCGCGGCTGAGTTCCTGGTGGGCAGCGAGTGCACGCGGGTGGTCACACCTCTGCGGCGGCAGCCGGCGCCCCGTGGCCAGCAGATGGAGGCCGTGCGTGAAAAGCACGGGGAGCGGGCGCCCCTGTCACTGCACCTCAGCCACCACCTGTGCGGCGGCAGCGGTGACGGCGGCCCCCCTGACTTGTGGCTGCACCTCCTGGCCTCCCTCTGGAAGCAGGTCCAGTTTGCCGCCCGCACCCATGACTATGAGCAGATGGTGGACCTGATCGCCACGGACGACATGCACCCGTTCCTGGCTCCTGCGGGCCGTGACTTCCGCAAGGCCCTGGAGCGCTCAGTGTTCGTCCGCAGTGGCCGGGGGGGCGACGGGCAGCGGGGCGGCCACTACTCCCTGCAGGTGGACTGGTACACCTGGGCCACCTCACCCATCCGGAGGTACATGGACCTGGTGTTGCAGCGGCAGATCCTCCAGGTGCTGGGCTGCGGGGGCTCTGCCTACTCTGCCAGGGACATCGACGGGCTCTGCCAGGACTTCAGCCTCCAGCACGCGCTGGCCCAGAGCTACCAGCGGCGGGCACGCAGCCTGCACCTGGCCGTGCAGCTCAAGGCCCAGGCTCTCGACAAGCTGGGCTTCGTCGTGGACGTGGAGGCAGGATCCCGCTGCTTCCGGCTGCTCTTCCCCGGCAACCAGGAGACGCTGCCCGATCCCTGCCCCGTCCCCTACGCCTCCCTGCAGCTGGCGGAGCAACCCCACGCCCTGGTGGGCCGGCTGGGCTTGCAGCTCCTGTGGCGGCGCCGTGTCTACTCCGTGTGGAGCTCCAGCCCTCCCTCTCCGCCGCCTGGCCCCGTGCTGGACCCACACACCTGGGCCGTCTCCGCCGCCCTGTGGAAGCAGCTGCTGGCGCTGGTGGAGCAGCAGCACTGGCCGGAGGCGGCTGCCCTCATCCAGAAGAAGGGAGAGGAGCCCCGGCGGCGGGAGCTGGCGCAGGTGCAGCGGAGCCGCTGCGGCCACTTCCTGGAGGTGGCCCGGGAGCTGGGCAGCGGGGACACTCTGCAGGTGCAGCTCGGCGCCAGGCTGCAGCATGGCTTCCTGGTTCCAAGCCTGCAGCTCTGGACCGTAGCGCCCAGCTTCAGCCTCTGCCTGGAGCATGTGGAGCGGCCTGGAGACTGCTTCTTGGGCCACACGTACCAGGCCCCGCAGGACCGGTACCGCGACGTGGATGAGTACGCCTGCGTGTGGGAGCCGTTCTGCGCCCTGGAATCAGTCACCGGGGCGGTGGCCGAGAATGACTCTGTCACGCTGCAGCACCTGAGCATCTCGTGGAATAAGTCTCGGACGCCGCAGGGGCAGCTGCAGGGCACCTTCTGCCTGGAGGCCGCCTTCCTGGAGGAGAACCATGTCGACATCAACTTCGGCGGCTGCTACCTCTGCATCCGGCTGGAGGGGCTGTGGGCATCCACGGCCAGCCCGCCCCCCGGACCCCACAGCCTCGGCCCCGGGCTGAACGTCGACCCCGGCACCTATACCTGGGTGGCCCACGGGCTGACGGATGACAGGGACCAGGAGCACCGGGCTGACCGGCAGGAGGCTCCTAGACGGGTACACTTCTTCGTCCACCGCATGGGCATGGAGAAGGTTCCAGAAGAGGTGCTGAGGCCGGGGACCCTGTTCACTGTCGAGCTGCTGCCCAAGCAGCTTCCTGATCTGTGAGTGGCTTCCACGGTCGAGGCGGGGCTGGGTGGGCCGTGCTGGGATCCTCCCTTCCAGGAGCAGAACCTCGAGGGCAGCAGCCCTATTCCTGGGAGCCCGGTTGGTTTTCCAGTGTCTGCCTTCACCCCCAGCCGCAAGGAGGAAGCTGTGCGTGGGCTGGATGAGGCCTCCCCCCTGGTCACCAGCATTGCCCTGGGCTGGCCCACCCCGCAGCCCGTCTGCAGAGGTAGGCCTGCCCTGCCCCTCCGGCTTCCCCTCAGGCTCCCTGCCCCACCCTGCACCAGTGCTCAGGGAGGCCGCCCCTCTCAGTGATCCCCAGCAGGTTCCTGGAGCGCCAGACCTTTGACATCCCCGGAGGCCGCCACAGGCTGAACCCCAGCCAGAACCGGGCTGTCAGGGAGGCTCTGGAGAAGCCTTTCATGGTCATTCAGGGCCCGCCAGGTAGGGCCGACTCCAGGAGGCCGAAAGCTGCCTTGGGCTGCCTTGGGGCACAGGGACCCCGGGGGTGGGCTGTGATCTCCTGTTCATCGGCTGCAGGTACAGGGAAGACGGTCGTGGGCCTCCACATCGTGTTCTGGTTTCATAAATCAAACCAGGAGCAAGTGCAGCTCGGAGCCCCCAACGCGGGGGAGAATCGGCTGGGGGGTCCCTGCATCTTATATTGCGGCCCCTCCAACAAGTCGGTGGATGTCCTGGCAGGTGTGCGGGGTTGGCGGGGGGCCTGCAGGGTGCTGGCTCTCCGGGCAGGACTCACGTCCACTGACTGCCCCCAGGACTGCTCCTGAGAAGGCTGGAGCTGAAGCCCCTCCGTGTGTACAGCGAGCAGGCCGAGGCCAGCGACTTCCCAGCGCCGCACGTGGGCAGCAGGAACCTGCTCAGGAAGAGCCCCCGGGAGGGGAGGCCCAACCAGAGCCTCAGGTGCGCCCACTGTCTTCCAGGCTTTGGTGGAGTGGGGCCGGGCTGTCCAGACAGCCCTGCGTGGACGGGGCCCATGGAGTTCTGCCCCTCGTGGACGGGGCCCACGGAGCTCAGCCCTGCGTGGACAGGGCCCATGGAGCTCTGCCCCCGGGACAGCCCTGCGTGGACAGGGCTCACGGAGCTCTGCCCCCCAGGAGCATCACCCTGCACCACCGGATCCGGCAGGCTGCCAACCCGTACTCATCAGAAATCAAGGCTTTTGACGCCCGGCTGCAGAGAGGGGAAGTCTTCTCCAGGGAGGACCTGGCTTTGTAAGTGGCAGGGGCTGGAGGGTAGAGCTGCCCGCTGCGTGGCACCCTGGGGTGACAGGCAGTGTCCCCGTCAGGTACAAGAAGGTCATGTGGAATGCTCGGAAGTTCGAGCTGGACCGGCACGAGGTCATCGTCTGCACCTGCTCCTGCGCAGCCTCCCCCAGCCTGAAAACCCTGGACGTGAGGCAGATCCTTGTTGACGAGGCGGGCATGGCCACGGAGCCTGAAACCCTCATCCCCCTGGTGCAGTTCCCACAGGCTGAGAAGGTTGGTAGGGGGGCTGTGGGTACCACGGGCAGGCGTCCCTGGCATGGTCTCCCACCCTGGGCACCTGGTGTATGCAGACGTGAGCGTCGTGTGCGGCTAGGGTCCCTCTGGGTCTAGGATTGTCAGGGCCTGGCCTGCCCATTCCTCCAGGTGGTTCTCCTCGGAGACCACAAGCAGCTGCGGCCTGTGGTCAAGAATGAGCAGCTGCAAAATCTGGGTCTGGACCGGTCTCTGTTCGAGAGGTACCACGGGGATGCACACATGCTGGACACCCAGTACCGCATGGTGAGGACCCCCGCTTAACCCCAGCCCACGTGCAGTGGACACCCAGTACTGCATGGTGAGGACCCCCCCACACTCAGCCCCCAGCCCATGTGCAGCCACTGGGGGCCACAGCCCGACTGAGTGGCAGGTCGGGCGCCTCTGACCGGGCACACCCTTGCCTGCAGCATGAGGGCATTTGTGCCTTCCCCTCCATGGCATTCTACAAGAGCAGGCTGAAGACGTGGCAGGGCCTGAGGCGGCCTCCCAGTGTCCTAGGCCACGCCGGCAAGGAGAGCTGCCCTGTCATCTTTGGCTACATGCAGGGCCACGAGCGGAGGCTGCTGGTGTCCACGGACGAAGGGAATGAGAACTCCAAGGCCAACCTGGAGGAGGTGGCTGAGGTGGTGAGTGTCTGTGCCTGTGAGGCAGGGAAGGAGAGGCACCAGGCTCCACTCCGACTGTCCCCTTGGCCCCTCAGGTCCGCATCACCAAGCAGCTGACCCTGGGGAGGACAGTGGAACCCCAGGACCTCGCCATCCTCACACCCTACAACGCGCAGGCCTCTGAAATCAGCAAGGCGCTTCTGCGAGAGGGCATCGCCGGGGTGCTCGTGTCTTCCATCACCAAGAGCCAGGGTGAGGCTGGGGGCTTGTGGGGGGGCCAGGAGGGTGGGCGCGGTAGCCACAGAGCCTCATGCCCCGCCCTGCAGGGAGCGAGTGGCGTTACGTGCTGGTGAGCACCGTCCGCACCTGCGCCAAGAGCGACCTGGACCAGCGGCCGACCAAGAGCTGGCTCAAGAAGTTCCTGGGCTTTGTTGTGGACCCCAACCAAGTGAACGTGGCCTTCACGCGGGCACAGGAGGGGCTCTGCCTGATCGGTGAGGGTGGGGCTGGGCTCCTCCCTCGTGGGCAAGCAGGTGGGGCCGGGGATGGGGCCGGGGAGCTGCCTCACTCCCGCCTGACTCCTGCCTGACTTCCATGTGCACAGGAGACCACCTCCTCCTGCGCTGCTGCCCCCTCTGGCGTAGCCTCCTGGACTTCTGCGAGGATCAGCAGAGCCTTGTGCCTGCCAGCCAGGTGCGCGTCCGGAGAAGGCCAGCTGTGCCTTCCTGAAGAGCCCTCCCCACCAGCACTGTTCCAAGACTGGGAGGGAAAGCCCAGCACCCCAGCCCGCCACCTCGCCACCTGCTCATCAGCCTGCCTGTCTCCGTGGGGCGGGAAGTGGGCGCACTTGGGAGGAGAAAAGGGGACGGCCGGTCTCCACACCCCTGCTTCTCCTGGACATCGGGGACAGGACCACCTCTCAGGGTGGCCAAGAAGAGTTTCCTTGGGACCAGCGCAAAGAAGTTCTGCCTTCACTGGGAAGTCTCAGAACCAGGAAGGAAACCCTGTGGAGACTGCCCTTTGACCTTTGGACACCATCTGTGATTACCCTGGATAGTGTCTGTGGAGTTCAAATTTATTTTCTATTTAAATAAAGAGCCAGCATCCTGCCGGGCGCAGTGGCTCACGCCTGAATCACTCTGAGGCAGACAGATCACCTGAGGTCCGGAGTTCAAGACCAGCCTGGCCAACAGGGTGAAACCCTGTCTCTACCAAAAATACAAAATTAGCTGGGCATGGCGGTGGGCACCTGTAATCACAGCTACTTGTGACCCTGAGGCAGGAGAATCACTGGGGGCGGAGGTTGCAGTGAGCCAGGATTGCACCACTGCCCTCCAGCCTGGGCGACAGATTGAGACCATCTCAAAAAAAAAAAAAAAAAAAAGGCCAGTCTCTTTTTTAGGGACAGGGGCCCCAACCCAAGCTCAGGGCAAACGGGCCTCCCTGGCAGAGGGGGCCTTTTTCCCACCACCACTGCCTGTGTCCTTCAAGGGCTGCTGGAGGGCGGCCCAAAGCCAGGGTCCACGTCGCTACACCCGGCCTTCCGAAACGTGGAAACCAGTCCTGTCATCTTCCCGTGGGCTGCACAGCGGGCTCGGGGGCCGGTGCCCGGACGACGCTCCACCCGGACCAAGCCTTGCGGGACAGCCTGCTTAGCTGTTGGTTTCTCAGCCTTCCCCCCGGAGGGACCCAGCAACACCCACTTGCCCCAGGGCAGCTCTGCCCCTGCTGCCCCTTCAGTCCTGAGGGAGGGGTTGCCTCATCTTCTACATTCCAATTTTTATATCTTTGAATTATGTGATTAGATATTAATTTAATGATGAAGACCACTCTGAAAGCTCTTCTCGCTTCTGCGTGTTTTGAGGGCTGGCTGGGGGGCAAAAGTGGGTGGTGGTTGTGCTTGGGACACAGCGTGGAGGCCGTCCAGGGCCAGCTGCAGAGTGCCATGGGAAGGGCCATGGAGAGGGCGGTGGGGAGGGCCGTGGGGAGGGCGGTGGGGAGGGCCGTGGGGAGGGCCGTGGGGAGGGCCGTGGCTCCGACACGTCTCGGGCGTGGGGAGGGAGTCTCAGAGTGGGGAAGGAGTCTGGGCGTGGGGAGGGTGTCTTGGGCGTTGGGAGGGAGTCTCGGAGTGGGGAGGGAGTCTCGGAGTGGGGAGGGAGTCTCGGGTGTGGGGAGGGAGTCTGGGCATGGGGAGGGTGTCTTGGGCATGAGGAGGGCTGGTGCCTGGTGTGCTGAGGGCAGGCCACGGCTCTGGAGCTGCTCTGGTGGCCCCTGGCTGCTGCACTCTGTCCCCAGCCTGGCCAAGTCCAAAGTCCCCGAGGCCACTAGCCTTGACTGTCCTGCTAGTCCCACCTTTGAAGCTGCTCCTCGGATCCCCGGCCGCTGTGGACTAGGCTCCCCCAGCACCTGACCCATTTGTGGCCGTGTCCACAGAAGATCCTGTGACACCAGGTGCCCCTGGAAGTGCACAGCAGGGCCTCCCAGAGCCAGCTGGGGGGTCAGATGGTGGCCAGGGCTATGGTCACCGTGGGAAAAGAGATTCCGGGCATCTGTGGAGGGAGGGGCGGAGCATGGAGTCCCCAGGACTGTGGCCTCCTTGGTGAGCTAGACTGGCCCTGCCTTGAAGAGCACGGCTATTCATGGGCCGTCATGAAACAGACAATAGTTTTGCAATAGCTTGAGAAGTGACGGTGTGGAGGATGAGAAGGCACCTCTAGGAAGGGGACTTGGGGGCCTCACCAGCTTGCAGCCAGGGAAGGCTTCTGGGAGGAAGCGGTAGCTGGAGCCCTGCAGGTGAGTGGTCAGGGGAAGCAGGGGCTGCGTGCCTAGCAAAAGCCCCCAGTCCTGGAGGAGAGAGGGAGCGGGATGGGTTGGGGGGGGGCCCTTGAGGAACAAAAGGTGGAGGTGGGGCATGGGAGGCTCAGCTGAGCTGCTTACAGCCAGGGGCCCTCGGTGGTGTGGCTGCCTCCTCGGGCACGTGAGGCTGGGCAGGGGGTGACGGGAGGCGCCACAGCCTAGGAGTGTCTTCCCCCGAGGGAGCCCCCCAGCACCTCAGGCAAGGAAGGCCGAGCCTGGTCACGACGATGGGGGTGGCAAAGAGGGCCCGGGGCCAGGATGGCAGAGCCCCTGTGAAGCAGCTCTCGTCACTGGAGGTGGCCACCGGTGTCAGGGGCTCTTCCAGCTCCCAGGTCAGCTGTCTTGGGAGGTCTGGCCTGGAGGTCCCCCTGGGGAAGAGCAGAAGCAGAGGGCCTGGGGCTTCCACTGGACACAGGGAGGGGTAGGAAAACGCCCCCTCCACCGGGGAGGCCTCCTTGCCCCTGAGCTTGGGCTGAGGTCTCATGTTCCGAGCCAGGAAAAACACTGGTGGCTGCCTTTCAAACGTAAATAGGTTTGTTTCTTTAATTCTGTATGTGCATTTACACTCCTCTTTATTAGTGGATAAATATTAGAAAACCACCTCTCGGATGGTGTGGCTGAGACCGGGCCCCTCCAGCAGCCGCGGCTGGGTCTGCAGGGTCAGGCTGTCCCTCCACGGCTCATACACCAGCGTGGCGCTCTCAGCCCTCTGGATGGTGAACTTGTAGGAGCGGTTGGGCAGCAGGTTTTGGACGTCGAACGTGCAGGCCGCCACGGGGATGACGCCGCACTGGGCGCACTCCTGCTGCGTCCGCGGGTCCAGCAGCCTGAAGCGCAGCTCGTACTGCTCCGGCGTGGCCGGCTGGACGGTGACGAACCAGCGCAGCCGGGCCCAGTCCTGGTGGGCCGCCGACTCCTTACGGTCAAACATGACGGGCATCTTGGTGCTCAGCATGAGCCGGATGTGCGGGATCTTGGCGGCCCCAACGTCGGACACCAGGCGGTGCTTGATGTGCAGCTGGCCTGGCACCATCATGGTCAGGAAGCTGTCCATGGCGGCCGACACCTCCGCCAGCCGCCGCTGCACTAGCGCCCAGTCGGCCAGGAAGGGCCGCGGGTCGGGCGACTCCAGCAGGGCGTCCAGCTCAGCGCGACTGTGGTCAAGCTGCTCCAGCAGGTCCCTGAGCAGCAGGAGCTGGATCTTGGTCTGCGCCGTGCCCACCTTCTTCATGCGCTGAAACTTCCAGGGGTCGATGAGCTGGAACACGGCGCTGGGCAGCACCAGCGGGTTCTGGTCGCCCAGGGCCAGGTGCTTGGGCAGGACCTCAATGTAGTAGGAGCACTTCCGCAGCAGCTGCATGCGGGCATGGTGGCGCTTGAGCAGGTGCGGGCTCAGGTCCAAGGTCAGGAACTCACGCAGGGCATTTCGGCGCTCCATGTAGGTCCTCCATGCCTCCGGCTCCAGCAGCTGCTGGTCATCCGCCTCTTCCTGGTCCAGAAGGGACTGGGGACTGCCCAACTTCATCTTGTCCAGGCCCAGGCCTGCCACGTGGGAGCTCATCATCCGGGAGCTGGGGGGAGGGCTGGGTGTCAGCTGGGCTGGCCTCCCCGGGCCACAGCTCCCTTAGGTATGGCTTCAGCCCACTGCCCCCATGCTGGGCCTCTGTCCTTCCTCGGGGGCACAACTCTCTGGGAAGAGGCTGCCTGGAGGGCTGGGTGGGCAGGCTACAGATCTGGACGAAGTTTATGCAGAGAGGCGAAAACCTCTACTGACAAACAGCAGCCTGGAGGACGGAATAGGAAAGGCTTCTGGCCAGAACGGCTGGGGCAGAACCCCCAGTGCTGGGCAAGGCTCCCGCTTCCTAGCGCCGGTGCTGAAAGGGGGTCCTATGGGGCTGTGGAGAGGAGACAGCGAGGTCTTACGCAGCATAGGACCACCTTTGGGGACACTTGTGGGCCATCCTCCTGCTCCGGTGCTCCCTGGGGACTCTCCACATCTCACCGCAGCTGCAGAACAGAGATGTGCCTCACCAAAGACGAGGCCAGCTGACCGATCAGCGTGGGAGGAGGGCAGCCAGGCCTGGGCCTGGAGGAGCAGTCCTCCTCCCTCGCTGTGGACTGGGGATCCTGTGCCTGGTGAGCTCACGGACTCCACAAGCAACACCCCACGAAGGGGCTGGATTCTGTCACCCCATTTCCCAGAAGGAGCCTGAGGCTAAGAAGCTTGGTGCTTGCTCTCATCCAGGGCTTGAGCCCAGCTGCTGAGCCAAGCCTGAGCTCTGTCCGTGGTGCACTGGTGAGTGCAGCTGCCGCCCCAGGCTCTGCTGCAGCTCCCTGGAGCCGTGGACCCGGCTCCCAGCAACACTGGGGATCTCAGGTTGTCACAGCCACTTGGGCCTTGGACAAACCTGAACCGCAAATGAGAACTAAGCAGTGAGTGTGTGTGACTTCCCCAAGGCCACACGGGGACCATCAAGCCACGTCTGCCTCATACTCAAAGGGGCAACCCTTGAGCCCCCTAGGGACAGCAGGGAGTGTGCCCAGGGTGAGGTGCAAGCTGAGGGCAGGAGGCCAGGACCCCAGGCCTATGCCCTGCCCTGGTTGGAGGCTGGAGGAAATCCTGAGGGATGCTTCCCAGGTGGAAATCCCAGAGGAGCTGGTCGTCAACCGCGGAAGGCGGTTCTGAGACCATCCTGGTTCCAACACACCCCTGGTCCCAGGCCCGCCTCCCCAGGACCACCAGGTCCCCGCGCCCTCGCCCTTCCACTCCACTGCCCTCGGCTCCCAGGCCCGGGCCCACCTCCCCCGCACTCTGCCCGCCCCTGCCCCTTCCCTTCCGAGACCCCCGCCCTCCTCTCACAGCCTCCGCCACTGCCCCAGGCCCGGCCCACTTGCCCTGCCTCCGAAGCCGAGCCGGGCGGACTTCCTAGAGTCCAGCCTCCCTCGCGGGTGCTCTGCGGGTTGCCCCGGGGACCAGGGCCTTTGTGACGCTGCGGCCCGGGGGCGGGGACCCAGGACCCCAAGCCCAAGAATCTTCCAGACGCTTCGCTTGCTGGGGAGCCCTAGACTTCTGGGGGCCCGCGTCCCCGACCTGGGGGGCCACCGCAGGTGGCTGGTCCGAGAGCCGGGCTCCAAGTGGGGCTCCTCCTGAAAGACGCCCGTCCCGGAGCCCTTCCGCGGGCACAGCGCTCGCCACGCACCCCTCCCCGGCTTCCGGCGGGGCGCAGGAGCCGCGGGTGGCTGGGGGGGGTTCCTCCCCAACCCCTCCATCCGGGCGCAATCCTCGGGAATCCCTCGGAGGAATTTGGGAGAGAGGAAGGGACCAGTGACCTGGCGGGTGGATGGAGCACCCAGTGCCCGGACAGGGAGAGGAGCGGCCCCGCCCGCCGCGGGCGCCTCCTACCGCAGGCTCCTCCCACCGAGGCTCCTCCCACCAAGGCTCCGCCCCAAGGCTCCCCCCCACCGGGGTGGGCTTCTTCCACCAGAGGCTCCTCCCACCCGAGGCTCCGCCCACCGAGGCTCCTCCCCCAAGTCCCCGCCCCACCAAGGCTCCGCCCCACGTGGGGCTCCTTCCACAACAGGCTCCTCCCACCAGGGGCTCCTCCCACCACGGCCCCTCCCACCATGGCCCCTCCCACCGCTGGCTCCTCCCACTACAGCGTCCTCCCACCATGGGCTCCTCCCACCACAGGGTCGGCCCACCGCAGGCTCCTTCCGAAAGGGGCTGCCCAAGCTCGGGCCCCGACCTGACTGTGGATAAATGGGGTCTCCATAGCTCCAGAGAGGCCTGCAGAGAACCTCTGAGGCCCATCTGGTCCCATCCGTGTCCGTTCAGTTGGGCTCAGGGCCTCTGGGATCCTCCCCTTCCCCCACAGCACCCCCCAGCTAGCTGGGGGGTCTCCTAGGGTCACAGCCAGTCTCAGACACCCCAAGGGGCCCCTGCTTCACCTTCAGGAAGATGCTGGAAGAGGATGCCCTTTCCATCCTCTTCGTCTCCACCCCCAGAGAGGTCAGTGCTGGGGCCTCTCCCAGGATGGACGTCCCTGAGTCCCTCCCAGGCTGTTCTGCCACCTGAGCCTCCCCCCTCCTCTGGTGACCCCACCCTGGAAGAGCTTTCCCTTGGTGTAGGGAGGCCCCAGGGTTTAGGCCTGGGAGGAAGCGGATGCGTGTGGGTGTTTCTTTTGAAATGGGGTCTTGCCCTGTCACCCACTCACTGCAGCCTCCACCCCCCGAGCTCATGTGATCCTCCACCTGCGTCTCAGATCCTGTGGGATCACAGGTATGAGCCCTGTGCCCAGTCCTGTTGGGTGCTGTTTCTGCCCTGCCCTCCCTGCCTGGGCTGGAACTCTGGTTATTGTTGTTACTGTTATTTAGGGCTCAAAGCTGGGTTGTTTGGAGAAGGGGGTGCTGTCTGACCCCTTACCCCCAGCCCCGCAGTCCACCCACAGAGAAGCAGAGCAGCCCCCCTCCTCTTCTGGGGTCAGGCAGGTCCCAGACCTCTGCCCTCTCCTGGGCTCCATCCTACCCGCTTTCGATTTCTGATTTCCCATCCAATTTTTAAAAATTAAACTTTTTTCTGGGCTCAGTGGCTCAGGCCCATAATCCCAGCACTTTGAGAGGCCAAGGTGAGAGGATCCCTTGAGGCCAGGAGTTTGAGTCCAGCCTGGGCAAGATAGAGAGACTCCTGTCTCTACAAATAATTTTAAAAATTAGCTGGGTGTGGTGGTGTGCACCTGTGGTCCCAGCTGCTTGACAGGCTGAGGCTGGAGGATCACCTGAGCCTGGGAGGGCGAGGCTGCAGTGAGCTGAGATGGTACCAGCCTGGGGAACAGAGGGAGACCCTGTCTCTAAAAAGAATAATAATGGCTGGGTGCAGTGGCTCATGCCTGTAATCCCAGCATTTTGGGATGCTGAGGCAGGCAGATCACCTAAGGTCAGGAGTTCGAGACCAGCTGGTCAACAACGTGAGACCCCATCCCTACTAAAAACACAAAAAATAGACGGTTGTGGTGGCGCGCGCCTGTAATCCCAGCTACGTGGGAGGCTGAGGTAGGAGAATCCCTTGAACCCAGGAGGTGGAGGTTGCAGTGAGCCGAGATCGCAGCACTACACTCCAGCCTGGGTGCAGTAAGACAGAGACCCGTCTCAAAAACAGTAATAATAATAATAAAATTAAACTTTTAATTTTGAGACAATTGTAACTTCAGCCGCGGTTGTAAGAGATAACACAGAGGGCCCGTTTCCCTCCACGCAACCTCCCATGGGAGGATCTTGCAGGCCTGCTGTGCGCGATCACACCAGGACCCTGACGCCGGTGCAGACGCAGCGCGGTGCCACGCCAGGAGGCCTGACAGGTTCTTTATGGCCACGTGCTTCCTGCCTCCCCTCCCTAGCTCTGCAGCCACCCGTCTCTCCATCTCTGTCTCATCATTTCAAGAATGTTCTATCCACATGGGCCTTCAGTATGCAGCCTTGGGATGGACTTCCTGAGCTCAGCATAACCCCCTCCGTGCGGCCGCCCACAGTTCCTTCTTTTCATTGCTTGGCAGCGCTGCAGTGTGCCAAGATCAGCTCTGGGTTCAGTCGCTCCCAGCCCTGTTTGTGGCCACGAGGGCATGGGCAGTGAGCACTTTGGGTCCGGCGTCCCTGGCGGACAGAGCCTCCCTGGGCCTGAGGATGGTGAAGGCTGGGTTAGTGAGGCCACAGTCGTTGGGGAGGAGGGTGCACTGTGACCACTGACACCCTCAGAGCTGTGTCCTCCAGACACACAGACCTGGGTTGGGGTTGCCCGGCACCCCATCCTCCTGATCTGTGTCCTCACAGCTGTTGTAAGCTCAGTGCTAAGATGGGGAAACTGAGGCATGGGGCGGTTCAGCACTGTGTGCCCAAGGTCATGTGGCCAGTGAGTCTGAGAGCAGGACTCCAGCCCTGGTCTTTTTTTCTTTCTGTCTTTCTTTTTATTTTTTTGAGATGGAGTCTCATTTAGCTGCCCAGGCTGGAGTGCAGTGGCTTGATCTTGGCTCACTGCAACCACCGTCTCCTGGGTTCAAGCGATTCTCCCTTCTCAGCCTCCCAAGTAGCTGGGATTATACAGGCTCCTGCCATCATGATCAGCTAATTTGTGTATTTTAGCAGAGATAGGGTTTCACCATATTGGCCAGGCTGGTCTTGAACTCCTGACCTCAGGTGGTCCACCCACCTCAGCCTCCCAAAGTGCTAGGATTACAGGTGTGAGTCACCACTCCTGGCCTTTTCTTTTTTTAAAAAAATAGAGACGGCGGGTGGGGGGGTCTGACTGTGTTGCCCAGGCTGGTCTTGAACCCTGGGCTCAAGCGATCCTCCTGCTTGGCCTTCCCAAATTCTGGCATTGCAGGCATGGGCAACCTTCCCAGGCCAAGCCCCAGTCTTCTGACCGTGGCCCCTTTCCTCACTCCCCTCTGCCACCTCCCTGTTAGGGCTGAGGGAGGAGGTGAGGTCACGGGGGAGTGCCCAGCAGGCAGGGAAGGCACTGTTGACCTGGACACCTGTCCTGGGGCCCTACACTGGGCTGTGCTGCACCAGGCAGTGAGGTGAGGAAGGGGTGGGCATTTGGGCACAACTTGGAGGTCAGCAGACGGGGCAGCTGGGCCTGTGGGGTTGAGGATTCTGAGGACCGCTAGGGAGGAGCTGGATGAAGGCGGCCTTGGCTACCTGCCGACTGTGTTCACCCCGGCATGTATGCGGTGCAAGGGTGGCAGGCACAAGGAGGGGAAGATGGGGAGGAAGCTGGGAGCTGATCTGTAGGCGGATGACGCAGCGGGGGTGAGACACACTTGGGCAGAGGCCCGACGGGGCCCTCACCCTGACGGCCAGGCCTGGCTCTGGCTCCAGCTGGGCGTGGAATGTGCTGAGTCTGTGCCCCGATCCCGTGGCTCTAAGGGACAGGGAGTGTCCAGAAGGAGTCTGCATTCAGTGCCCTGAACAGCTGACCCCGGTGTGGTGCGCACGGGAGCCTCCCATGCCCTGAGAGGCCTCCCTGGAGCTGTGCAGCCTTGGCGTTCTAGGAGGGAGGGGCAACGTCCTAGGGAGGGTTTAGGAGAACTGATTGCTGAGCATGGTGGCACACGCCTGTAGTCCCAGCACTGTGGGAGGCCGGAGCATCACATGAGGCCAAGAATTCAAAGCCAGCCTGGGAAAAGGGAGATCCCATCTCTACAAATAATAAAAAATGCATCTGGGTGTGGAGGTGCACACCTGTAGTCCCAGCTACTTAGGAAGCTGAGGCAGGAGGATCGCTTGTGCCCAGGAGATGGAGGCTAAGAGCCGTGATGGCGCCACTGCACTCCAGCCTGGGCAACAGAGTGAGACCCTGTTTCAAAAAAAAGTAAAAGGAAAGAAACCGGTCAGCGAAAACCCCACTTGCACGTGTGCTGGAGGAGAAGGTGGTGGGCATCGGCTTCGGGGCCCCTGCAAGACCCCCAATTCAGGATTTATAATTATTCGCATTTCTGAACACCGCCCCCCCGCCAAAGGATGCCTTTCTATGGGGCAGAGCCTGCCCAAGCCTGGTGATGTCCAGCCTCCCGGGGCCTCTGCTGGCTCCAGGCTGTCAGCCAGGGACACAGCTTGGCCCTGGGGTGCCGAGAGCCAGCCCACGGGTGTCACTGCCACCCCACAATGCACACGCCAGTCCCCAGACGCGAGGTTGCCGAGAAGTCGGTTTGCAGCTCCAGGACAGGCAGGCGTGAGAGGGCTTGTCATCAGCTGGACACTGGTCACCCTGTTGGATGGATGCGTTCCACCACACACATGTAGTGGGGCATTGATGGGTGTGAGATGTGGGGACGGGCGGGCGTGAGGTCCATGAAGGCCACCCAGGGGCTGAAGGGGCTGCTGGGGGGTTGGCGAGAGGAGTGAGAGACTGCAGACAGCTCCCACCCCTACTCTCCCTCAGGGCCCGGAGGGGAGGCCGGCGGGAGGAGAGAGACTGGAGATGCCCCCCCCAACCCACTCAGGAGCCGGAGGGGGGCCGGCGGGAGGAGAGACTGCAAATGGGCCCCCACCCCAACCCCCTGCCTCAGGACCCCACCCTAGACCTGGCTCTGCTGGGATTCACTCCCCCAACCCAACCCTGCCCTGTCTTGGGGACCTGTCTGGGTGGGCAGGGTTTGCTTCAGCATGTGGGGCTTGACACTGTCCAGGGAGAGGTCCCAGCTAGGGGCTTGCCCGCCACCCCTTCCCCATGTGCTGGCCTCCCTGCTCGTACCCCAGCCTCCACTTCCCCAGAGTGGCCTCTGGGTATCTCCTGGGCATTGACTGGACCAGAAGCCAGTCACTGGGCATCGTGGGGCATCTGGAAGCCGGCCCTGAGGCCGAGCTCCGTGCAAGCAGCATCTTGTTTACAGCATGAAAGCCGGGGTGCTGAGAGCCCCTCAAGCGCCTGTCCTGGGGCCTCTGCAGACTCAGCGCTGAGCCTGTGTGGGGCTGATATCAGGTGTTAAAATATCCGGGCAACGTTGAAATAAGCAGGAAGTTTTCAGTAAGTGCGGCTCGGGCTTGGCAACCACGCAGGTGGTGGACAGCATCGCCCTCCCTGGACTCTCCTTCTCTGCGGGCGCGGGGCTGCCGGGCTTGTGGGGTCCGTGGGCAAGGGCCAGGCCTGGCTGGACAGTCACCCGCCTGCCTGGGCCCTGCGAGGGCGGGAGAGAAGCTGGCCCCGCCCGCCCCGCCCTCCGCGGCCCCTCCCGGAGCCCGCCCCGCCCCGCCCCAGCCTCCCTCAGCCGGTGGGTCTGGGAGGGGATCCAGCGCGCGCGGGACGCCTGGAGGTGGAGGAGTGCAGGGGCCGTCGGTGCGCCCGAGGCAGGGTGTCCGCCCTGCGCCCCCCGCCCGGCCCGAACGCCCCGTGTGCCTCCTTGCGGGGGCCTCCGAGTGACCACAGGGCCGGGGTCCCCGTCGCCCCACGGGCAGGTGCCGGCTGGGGACGCGGCGCAGGGAGCGCTGGACACCGGCGCCGCCAGTTCCTCCTGCGCCCTCGGGGCTCCATGGCGGCGGCCGGCGAGGCCCTGGGCCCAGCGTGGTGACCCCGGGGGTCATGGAGCCCTTCCTCAGGAGGCGGCTGGCCTTCCTGTCCTTCTTCTGGGACAAAATCTGGCCGGCGGGCGGCGAGCCGGACCCCGAGGCCGACCCCACGCCCACGCCCGCGCCCCGCAGCCCCCCCGCGCCGCGCCCGCAGCTCTTCCGCGCGCTCTACGACTTCAGGGCGCGGCGCGGGGGGAAGCCGAGTGTCCGCCGCGGGGACGGGCTCTGCGCCCTCGGGGAGGATGAGGGCGGCTGCTCCTTTGCGCGCAGGCTCTCGGGCCAGCCCAGCGCGGGGCTCGTGCCCATCACCTGCGTTGCCGAAGCCTCTCCGGAGCCGCTCTCAGACCAACCGTGAGTACCTCCCGTCGGAGCCAGAGCCTGCCCGCCCCAGGCTGGGGCCCATGGACTTTGGCGGGAAATCGCGTGTCCATGGCTGTCTGTTCATTCATTCGTTCATCCTGGCATTCATTCAGGGACAGTTTATGGGCACTGGGCGGCAGGTGGGGCAGGAAGACGGCAGTGCGAGAGGGAGAGGTCGCTCCAGCAGGAGGGGTCAGGTCTGGGCACAAGAGCTGGACCAGCCGGGCACCCAGCAGGCGGTGACTCCAGGACCCTGCCCAGCTGGCCAGGCCCTCCCGCCCTCAACAGGGAGTCCAGTGTTCACGGAGAGGTCCCTGCTTGGAGGACAGGGGCTGGGAGGCACCAGGTGAGACAGTGGGCCTGCTCCAGGAGCTCTGGGTGAGGCCACGTGAGCAGAGGGCTGGCAGATTGCCCCGAGTGGAGAAGCCCAGTGGGGTTGCTCTGGGCAGCTGCCTTGGTCCTGTGTCCAGCCCAGCCAGGCCTGAGCCCTGCAGACCTCTGGGGTCAGCCTTGGCCTCGGGCCACTTCCAGCCTCCTGGGGCCCCTTGGCACTCACAGATGGTCCTGGGGACTGCATGTGGTGGGTGATGCTGGAGTCACGGGGAGGTGCCTTCTGAGGGACCCCAGGCCCTCACCCCACACTTGCCCTACTTGCCCTGAGCAGTGGTTGGGGGCAAGCAGCCATTGTGACAGGAAGGGGCTCACAGTCACCCCAGGTGTGGGGACAGACCCCTTGGGCAGTTCCTGGAGGGCTCTGGGCCAGGTAGGGCTGGGGCAGGAAGGGCTGGGGTGGGCAGGGCTGGGCAGGGTAGGGCTGGGGCAGGAAGGGCTGGGGTGGGCAGGGCTGGGCAGGGCAGGGCTGCCTATAGGTAAAGATAATGACTATTTGCCTGGGCTGGAGATTAAACGACTAACCACGCTCAGCTGTCATTAGCCCCAGACACCCGGCCCCACACCCCAGGGGGAGACCCCAGGCACATCCCTGCATCTCAGAACACGTGCAGGGCCCGCCCCCTACCCCCAAGCCCTGATATGGGCTTCAGAGGAGGCTGGTGATGTGTAGGGAAAACACCTGTCTCACCCCCATAACCCCACAGTGCTGGGAGGGACCTGGGTCCCTTCTCACCTGAGGGGGTTTCGTCTCCCTGCCAACAGACCCCAGAGGGCAGGGGCCCCAGCTGCAGGAGGAGCTATGTGGACAGAGATGGGCAGCCTCTGGGCTGTCCCTTGGCCCAGAATGAGTCTGTGAGCTTCCCCGAAGACTGCTGCCCCACTGAGTTTCATGTCGGGGGACCCACGTCCACCCTCTGACCCCACCCAGGTGCTGTACCATGTGTTGGTACGTCCAGCCTTCGAGTTTTACCACCAGCGTCTCCGAACGCCACCTCTCCATCCCCGGTCCAGCACCTCTCTGCCTCCGGCTTTGCCCGTTCCCTCCAACCTCAGCCCAGCCCCATGGCCCCCCAGGTCCCCAGAGCAGGGGTGCCAGACGGTGTCCTCCCTCCTGCCCAGTCCCAGCAGCCACGTCTGCCCAGGAAGGCACTGCTGTGCCCCGGCCCTGAATCTTTCGTGGACTCTGAGGCTGGCCTTGTGTCCTCTCCTAATCCCGCTCCCCAGGTGGCCTCAGCCCCACCCTGACACCTGCTCACTGTGCTTCCTCCTTCTGGTGCTGCCCTGGGGTGGGGGAGTGGCAGGCATCCCTCTCTGGGTCCCAGGAAGCTCCCGGAAGTGGAGGCTCCAGGGTGGGAAGCTGAGTCAGGGGTGGAGTCCCCGCCCTGGCCTTGGGAAGCAGAGATGCTCCGTGGAGTGGGGCCTTGGGCATTTCTGTCTTCCTTCCAAGGGTGTCTCTGGCTCCCAGGAATAAGTACATGTGACTTAGTGGGTGGCCCACCTGGACAGGGGAGCCCCAGCAGGCCCCGCCCCCGACACCCGGGTGTGGGCTCCCCGTGTTTGGGCATCTGAGGAGTGGGGGCTCGGGAGCTCCCTGCCACTGTGTTCAGAGCGGTCTCACCTGCACCTGGCTTTTTGGAGGGAGTGTCTCTTTGGACAGAGTCCAATAGGCTTGGGGCTGTCCTGTACTGGGCACAGTTCTTCAGCTTGGGATGCAGGATGCTTTGAATGTTCGCCCAGCACCCGTGCAGCCGCCCACTGGCCACCCCAGCCTGGCTTAGGCTGCGTCCTCAGGACAGAGCCCTGCGTGGGCCACCCCAGCAGCCAACTGCCAGAGCCAGGTGGGCCGTGTCCAGCAGGTGGTGCCTGTGGCCCTGTGCGGCCACACCCATAGCCCAGCAGTGCTTTAGGGCAGCTCATCAGGCCTCAGCTCTGGTCCTCACAGGGGCTCAGTGAAGCTGGGAGTTTGGTGGCCTGTGGCCAGAGCTGATTGTTGCCTGTGGCTGGGGCTGGTGGTCACTTTATGAACAGGGAACTGGAGGTCAACCCCAGCAGGGCTAACAGATAGCCCATGGCCAAGGTGAGGACTCTCAGGGCTGGGCAGGAGGATGGGGCCGGCCCTGGAGGCTGAGGCAGTGCAGACCCTGGCTGTCACAGGGGCATTTTCTCCCTGAGAGGCCGGGCTCAGCCCTGCCGCCAGCACGGGGGACAGCGTGGAGGGCCACTGGCCGAGAGGCCTGCAAGGTGACCCCACACCTGCTTTTTGCAGCTGGTACTTCAGTGGGGTCAGCCGGACCCAGGCCCAGGAGCTGCTCCTCTCCCCACCCAACGAACCAGGGGCCTTCCTCGTCCGGCCCAGCGAGAGCAGCCTCGGGGGCTACTCACTGTCAGGTACCTGCGGCGGCCCCTCCTGCCTCTGTCCCCACCAGGCCAGTGGCCCTTGACCTTGGGGTGGGGTCTCTAGGCAGTGTTGGCTCCTGATTCATACCCGGCCCCACTGAGGGCCCGACAGCAGATACGCTGGTCACCTCCTGAAGTTGCTCACTCACTGATTCATTCATTTGGTCACTCATCCAGTCATTCATTCACTCATTCATTAATTCACCCCTGCACTTGCTCACTCACTGTTTTGTTCATCTGTTCATTCATTCATTCTCACTCCTTCACTTGCCCATTCATTCCTCATTCACTAACGCACTCATTCGCTCCTTCACTCATTCACTCACTGATGAGTTCACTGGCTTAGTCTTTCATTCATTTGCTCATTCATTCACTCCTTCATTCCTTTATTCACTGAATCTTGGACTCATTCATTCTACAAGTATGTATTAGGAGCCTACTCTGCACACCATCAGTAGAAAAGCTCCAAACAGGGCTTTTCTCTTGCTGCCTCGCCCCAGCCTGTAGCTGCCCACACTCCCTCCTCACAGCTCTGACCATCTCAGGGTCCCCAGCTAGATCTGGGCCAGGCCCCTCAGGTGGGTTGTGGCCACCATCTGCTGTGGTGGGAGGTTGGGGCAGTTAGGTCTGTTGGCAGGGAGGCGTGTCAGAGGCAGGGTCTCCATCTCTGACCCCTTCCTAGTCCGGGCCCAGGCCAGCGTCTGCCACTACCGGGTCTCCATGGCAGCTGACGGCAGCCTCTATCTGCAGAAGGGCCGGCTCTTCCCCAGCTTGGAGGAGCTGCTCACCTACTATAAGGCCAACTGGAAGCTGATCCAGAACCCGCTGTTGCGGCCCTGCCTGCCCCAGGTGGGCCTGTGCCTGCCCTGTGCCTGCCCAAGGCACAGCCCTGTTCTGGGTGCCCCTCCCCACCCGGTCGCAAAGCCCCTGGGGCTGCCAGAGGAGCAGCTCCAGGGCCTGTCCGGGCCTGGGAGCCTCAGAGCACCCAGCGGCTCCTGCACACCCTGCTCTCTGTGGGTATCTTAGCCCGTCTCTGAGGGTTGCTGGGATTCCTGGGGGCTGGGGGTGTGGAGAGGAGACCCGTGGTGGTGCCCAGCTCTGCAGCCGAGCAGCCGGGAGGGTGGGGCCAGTCTGGGGAAGGCACGCAAGGCTGCCCCCGGTCCCAAAGGTGGAAGCCGTGGGAGGACACGCAGTGGCAAGATGCTGCACCTGGGCTGCGGCTGCCGGGCCCTGGGACCGCCCCAAAGAGCCACCCTGCCAAGGGCCAGGGCAGGAGTCCGGTTTCCCTGGTCTCATAATGACAGCCTGGCCGGGGCAGTAATGAGGATGTGTAGATGGATATCCGGCCAGGGCAAAGGTGCCACTTAGGCCCTCAGAGCCATGAGCTCCTGCAGTGCTGGGCGGGGCCTTCAAGCCCTTTGTCCCGGCCAGGGTGAGGTGAGCTTGTGCTGGGGATGGGGGTGCCCGCTCCAGGCCTGGTGCAGGAGCTCTGCCTGGGACAGAGCACAGGGGCCCACCCTGCCCAGCCTCCCTGCCTGGCCTCCGTGCCTGGCCTCCCTGCCCAGACTCCCTGCCCGGCCTCCCTGGAGGGAGTGGGCAGGGCACTGAGTGTCCCCTCCCTGCAGAACCCCGTGCAGCAGGATGCGTGGGAGCGGCCACACTCTGAATTTGCCCTTCGGAGGAAGCTGGGTGAAGGCTACTTTGGGGAGGTGTGGGAAGGCCTGTGGCTGGGCTCCCTGCCCGTGGCGGTCAAGGTCATCAAGTCAGGTGAGGTCCGAGGTCCTGAGCCACGGCTGGGCCCTGCACCTGCTGCCCAACCCTCCACCCCGGGGCAGTCGTGGTGTGGGCCAGACCTGGAGCCGTGCCCTCTCCCGCAGCCGACATGAAGCTCACGGACCTCGCCAAGGAGATCCAGACGCTCAAGGGTCTGAAGCACGAGCGGCTCATCCGGCTGCACGCGGTGTGCTCTGCCGGGGAGCCAGTGTACATTGTCACGGAGCTCATGCGCAAGGGAAACCTGCAGGCCTACCTGGGCAGTGAGTCCCCACCCTGCCGACCCCGGGCCCTGGCGCGCCTGCCACCACCCCTTCCCTTCCGGTGCAGAGCCAAGCCTGCAGGGGTTTCTGGGGTGAACCAGCGTCTCTCAGGAGCAGGGGACCCGGGCTGCAGACCCCATCCCTGTCCTGGCCTCCAGCCGGCAGGGGGCTGGGCCAGGCCAGAGCCTTTTGGTTCTGGGGCTGGGGCTGGAGTTCGAGGGCCGGGGATGCCGTCCCATCTGGTCACCAGCCTTGGTCTCACGGGATGTGGACCCAGTCCCGTCTCTGGCTCTTCTCTGCCTGGGTCTTTATTAGGGGCGTGGGCCAGTGGCCAGGTCAGTGCGGTGAGTACAGGACCCTCCCCCGCCTCACTCAGGGCTTCCTGCGGCCTCAGCAGGCCGTACGGTCCTTACCACGTCTGAGGGATGAGGAGGCTCAGGTGTGGGGGGAGGAGACGCTGGTGGAGGCCGGCCTCTCCCACCTTTGGCCCTGGGCCCCATAAGGCCCCACACTGTCTCTTGCAGGCCCTGAAGGCCGGGCCCTGCGTCTGCCGCCCCTGCTGGGCTTTGCCTGCCAGGTGGCCGAGGGCATGAGCTACCTGGAGGAGCGACGCATTGTGCACCGGGACCTGGCCGCCAGGAACGTGCTCGTGGATGATGGCCTGGCCTGCAAGGTGGCCGACTTTGGCCTGGCCCGGCTGCTCAAGGTCAGCGGGGGCTCTAGGCCCCTGACGGCTGGAGGGGATGGGTGAGGGGCACCGGCCCACCTACCCCACGTGGGGCCTTCCCTTGCCCCCAGGATGACATCTACTCCCCGAGCAGCGGCTCCAAGATCCCGGTCAAGTGGACAGCGCCAGAGGCGGCCAATTATCGTGTCTTCTCCCAGAAGTCGGATGTCTGGTCCTTCGGGGTCCTGCTGTACGAGGTTTTCACCTACGGCCAGTGTCCCTACGAAGGTGCATCTCTAGGCAGCTGGAGGGAGGAGGCAGAATCTACCCAGGAGTCACTGGCCCTGGGTCCTGGACGCCGTCGGCTCAGGGTTGAAGGGTCTGGCCAAGGGCAGGCAGGTGATGCGGGGAGCTAAGGGAGCCCTCCATAGGGACCCCCAGGCAGAACTGAGCAGCTCCTGCCCCGCGCCTCCCAGGGATGACCAACCACGAGACACTGCAGCAGATCACCAGAGGGTACCGGCTGCCGCGCCCGGCCACCTGCCCGGCGGAGGTCTATGTGCTCATGCTGGAGTGCTGGAGGGGCAGCCCCGAGGAGCGGCCCACCTTTGCCATGCTGCGGGAGAAGCTGCACGCCATCCACGGAGGCTTCTCCCGAGTCCTCACGTGACCCAGTGCTCTGGGCTCCAGCCAGGCCGTCCCCTTCTCCCCGCAGAGCGTCAATGCAGGCCTACTGCAGGCCAGCCAGACCGAGGAGCCTCTGGCTGTGGGCCTCAGGCACTGGTGGGCACACATGTTTGTGCACCAGGCGAACATGAGCAGACAGTGGAGGGGCCATGTTGTCTGTGCGGTATGACCGTGTCCCTGGCATAGAGTGGAGGGCTGACCTTCTCTGTGTGACCGTGTCCGCTGACCTCCGTGTGACCATGTCCCTGGCGCAGAGCGGAGGGCTGACCTTCTCCGTGTGACCGTGTCCCTGGTATAGAGTGGAGGGCTGACCTTCTCCGTGTGACCGTGTCCCTGGCGCAGAGTGGAGGGCTGACCTTCTCCGTGTGACCGTGTCCCTGGCGCAGAGTGAAGGGCTGACCTTCTCCGGGTGACCGTGTCCCTGGTATAGAGTGGAGGGCTGACCTTCTCCGTGTGACCGTGTCCCTGGTATAGAGTGGAGGGCTGACCTTCTCTGTGTCACTGTGTCCCTGGCGGAGAGTGAAGGGCTGACCTTCTCCGTGTGACCGTGTCCCTGGTATAGAGTGGAGGGCTGACCTTCTCCGTGTGTCCGTGTTCCTGGCGTAGAGTGGAGGGCTGACCTTCTCCGTGTGTCCGTGTCCACTGACCTCCGTGTGTCCGTGTTCCTGGCGTAGAGTGAAGGGCTGACCTTCTCCGGGTGACCGTGTCCCTGGTATAGAGTGGAGGGCTGACCTTCTCCGTGTGACCGTGTCCCTGGCGCAGAGTGAAGGGCTGACCTTCTCCGGGTGACCGTGTCCCTGGTATAGAGTGGAGGGCTGACCTTCTCCGTGTGACCGTGTCCCCTGCACTCCTCAGAGACAAATAGCATGTCGGGGTGGGAGGAACCTCGGAAACCCCGAGGCAGTGTGTCTCCTCGCTGAAGCCTGTCGTCCGGGTTCCCTGGACTCCCTTGCAGGGTCAAGAGCCAGAGGCCCAGTTCTCTCCCCAGTCCCAGCTTGGGTTTGTGGAAGTGGCCAGTGCTGGACTCCCCGGCAGACCACGGTGTTGACACCATCGGGCGCGTGCTGTGCAGGCACAGGGTGTGCTGTGTGCAAACCCAGCACACACGCAGCACCCAGTACGCGGGGACTGGCCCACCCAGACATGCACACAGACACATACCACACACAGGCTCAGCTCCCCAAACCCAGATCCAGGAGCTGGAGTGTGGGGTCTGCTAGAAAATGCAGGTTGGAGTGGCCTCCACGTGCCCAGGCCCCCAGCCCAGGACATCACAGTGCCCAGACAGTGAGAGCCCCACAGGCACTGGCAGAAGCTGCCTGAGCAGCTGGTTCCGTCTCCCTGGGTGGGCTCCAGGCACAGGAAGGGTGGGCAGGGAGGCTTGGCGGCCTAGGAGCTGTCCTCAGAGGCCATTTCCAGGGGCCTCAGGATGGGCCCTGGGGGATGCGGGGTCTTCTGGCTGCGCAGGGTCAGGCGGGGCCAGAGGTTGGGGGTCGGGGGTAGATGCCATGTTGTGCTGGAAACAACAGCAGCTGGCTCAGGGTAGCCTCTGGGTGTGAATACTTTGGGGTCACCGAGGCAGGAGGTGGCAGGGACGAACGGGGTTGGCCTCGCTCACCGCGCATCTGGCTTAGGTCTTTGTGAGACAAATCGAGGGGAGGGGGACAGGCACATGGGGCCAGTGGGGTCTGTGTTTAGGGTCCCTGAAGACCCTGCCCCCAACCCTTTGGGAGCCCAGGCTCGGAGCCATGCCCAGAAGGCTTGCAGGGACAGAAAGTTTGAGGACGAGTTCAGGCCTGAGGTCCTCATCCCCTAGAGTCAGGGTCAGCTCTGCACCTGCTGAGCCAATGCTCTGATGGCCACCATCCACAGGCTGGCTCAGGAGGGAGCTGGGGGACGAGGCTCCCGAGTGCAAAGGTAAGTGGCCCCGCGGAAGGAAGAGGCCCCTGGAGGCTCAGAGGACAGGACAGCGCAGGGGCCGTAAGCAAAGCCACACGGAGGGAGGTGGCCAGAGCCAGGACCTGCAGATGGTGGGGCAGGAGGATTTGTCTGAGCCCTTCGGCACGCTGGCCAGCTGCCCGCTCCACAGGCGCGGGAGAGCCTAGGAGAGAAGCTGGCTCTGTCAGCTGGGCCCAGTGAGCCTTTGAGCTGAGCTTCCGGTTCTGGGCACGTCCCTGGTACAGCAGCCTGGGGGCTCCCATGGCACAGAAGGCCCCACCCTCTGTGCTTTCTGTGGCCACTATGTGTCCGGAGCTGAGATGGGCACAGCCCACCCGGGAGGAAAGGAGGTGCTGGGCTCAAGGGGACCTGGTGTGTCTGTGGCTCCCATGTCTTCCCAGGCATCTGGCCAGCCACTCACTAAACAGGTTTGGTGCTCCTGGGTATTGGGGAGGGGCTGCTTCCTGGCCATTCCTGGTGTGGCTTAGACTGAACGTCCTGTACGTCCGAACTCAGGGGCACTCGAGGTCCCCTGGACACACACTCATGGACCCAGAGGCCCAAGGTTCGTGGACACCAAGATGGCAGAGCTGGGGAGGCCTGAGGGACGAGGCCCAACCCAACACCCACTGCCCCTGCCCCTCATCACCACCTCCCACACCTCCCCCTGCATCACCCCCACCGACCCCAGGCAGAGCTGGGGGGCCTGAGGGACGCCACCCAGCCTAACACCCCGCTGCCCCTCCCGACTTTGGTCAGCGCTGAGCTGCCCAGAAATCTAAGAAGCTGTTAAATAATCCAGATTATTCTTAATCTCAAAACAAAATGAGCGGAAGGTGCCGTTATTTCTCTTTGCAATAAAAATAGAAGTTCAAGTATGCGAGGGGTCTCCCCACCACCCCTGGCAGAGTCTGCGGGTCCCTTCCCACCCCGTCCTGCTCCCTGCGGCTGCTGTCGAGGCCCTGGGTCGGAGCTCCCTGGTGGACACAGCAGGGTCGGTGGGAGGGTGGGTGGGGGGGCCTCCGTGAAGTGGGGACAGGCGGCAGCCGGGTGCAGGTGGGGGTCAGGTCAGAGCTCACTCGGGCATGGGTGGGAGGGGGAGGGGAGCTGAAAGGGGGCAGGGGCTGTGGGGGCTGGGCAGAAGGAGGCAGAGGCTGCAGCTGGAGGGGCTGCCTGGGCAGGAGGTGGACCCTGGGCCCTGGCGCTGTGGCACTCCCAGGCCGCACTCATGGTCTTTGCCCGCCCCCTGGCGTCCATGTGGAGGAAGGCAGGGTCCGTTTCTTCAGCTGCGGGTGCCCTGGCTCTGCCTCCCGGGATCACCCCTGACCCCGTGTAATCCTTGGGCCCTCCTCTTCCAGGAAGTCCTCGGGACTGACCCACACAGTGATCGCTGCCCTGACTCCACTCCCTCTTCCCTGCTTGGCCCTTTCCCGAGGGCGAGTCCTTCGTCCTCTGCTGGGTGGGGCCGGCCCCTGAGGGGACTCTCAGGATACCCACCCACAGCAGCTCCCGGCATTGGGCCCTGTGCTCAGGGTTGGGGTCTGGGCTGGGTGAGCGGAGGCTTCCAGAAGTGGGGAGAGAGGCAGCCCCCATCTGGCCCCTGCGGCTCTAAGGTTGAGAAGGCCCCGTCTGGGGGTCCTCTGCCCTCCTTCTCCAGCACTCAGGCCGGTCCTGTGGGCCTGCCCGGTAGGTTCCCAGAGCCAGGGTGCTAAGTGGCCAGAAGGGCCCCGTGCAGCTGGCAGTGCAGCCTGCCCTGTGGGTGTGAGGACTCGTGGGGCCGGCTGGGCCCTCAGATGGGTCGGGTGCTCTCCAGCGCCTGTGGGTGCTGGGTGTGGCTGCCTCCCTGCCTGTCATGCGGAAGGGGGCGGGATGCCTGGCGGGCGGCCTCCTGCCACGCCCAGCCCCGTGCTCCAGCAGCCCACAGCCGGGTCCTGCCTCGGTGCCCGCCATGGTGTCACGGGACCAGGCTCACCTGGGCCCCAAGTACGTGGGCCTCTGGGACTTCAAGGCCCGGACAGACGAGGAGCTGAGCTTCCGAGCGGGGGACGTCTTCCACGTGACCAGGAAGGAGGAGCAGTGGTGGTGGGCCACGCTGCTGGACGAGGCGGGTGGGGCCGTGGCCCAGGGCTATGTGCCCCACAACTACCTGGCGGAGAAGGAGACGGTGGAGTCTGAACCGTGCGTGTCCCCAGCTCCCGGGAGTTTTGGCACAGCCACCCTCTAGGCACGGGGCAGGGAGAGGGCTCTGGGCTGGCCCCAAGGAGGCCCAGGAGGGTGGGGACCCCGGCTCTGTCTTCCTGCGCCCTGAAGTCCAGGCTGGGCATCCCGCTTGGTCCTTGCTCCATGCCCTGTGCGCTGGCGCCCGGGAGCGCCGACAGGACTGTGTCTGCGGCTCATCGGGCACAGGCTCCTCCCTTGTGCTCATCCTTGTCACAACTTGGTGGTGGAGGCTGCTCTGCCAGGGCCTGGGAAGGACAGGGGGTCCAGGGTGGACTTCCGGGAGGCCGGTGGCCAGTGAGCTCTGTGGGGGTTTCCAGAGCCTTTGAGGGAATGAAGCTTGCTCAGCTTCCAAACTGCCGGAACCAGACACACGACCTAGTCAGGGGAGCGGCCGGCTGCGGGGCAGGCTTCCTGCTTGCCCGGCCCTGCGAGGAACCAGAGGGCAGCTGGTGTGGCCTGGGCTGGCCTCCACGGCCGCTCGGCGCTCAGGCTGGAGGGGCTCTGGTGGGAGGGGTTTCTGTGGATCGGGCTCCTGAGAGCGGCTTTTCTCATCACGGATTGGGCACCTACTGTGTGCGTGCCCGAATCACAGGCTGTGTGGGGTTAGCTCCTGGGGACCCCAGTCACAAGCAGGGGAGGCTGCAGAGAGGCCGCCAGGCTGGGGCCGTGGTGGAGACCCCCATCATGTGCAGACCCACGACTGAGTTAGGGAGCAGGAGTGCGGTGTGGGGTCTGGCTAGAGGCTGGTCAGCTCCCAGGTGCAGAGACCCAGAGAACTCGCCCAGGTGAGGGGTGGGAAGGAGGCCAGGTGGTTGGAGGGTTGAGTGGGGCAGTGCCGCCAGCTGTGCAGAAGCGGAGGGGGTGGACCCCAGGGGCTCCATGCAGGGCGGTGGTCTTCTGTGTGGGGTCTGTGCGCCATGGCCTGAGGGAGTCGGACACACACAGGGCCGGGAACAGGACACCTGGAGCTTCTTCCAGCTCCACCCGGAAGTCCACAGTCCAGGGCTGCCCCAGCTCCACACCCTGTAGCCAGGAGTTAGTGCATTCGAGTGCTGTGTGCG